GGAAGCTATAACTATCATACTGGACCGTTCTATCTAGCAAAGATAACAGATGAACAGCTAACTAAATACTCAACATCAAGGTACACAATTTCAATTCAAGCTACAAATTTTGAATTCAATCTTTAAAAAATATTGGCTACCAAAAGTCAACTCTAGCGAGCTGGTAAAGGCCTTGGACAACAACTCAATGCAGTTCTGAATAAAACCAGCTAAACTTCTCCGATTGGCGTGGTACATCAGGGTGTGATGTATCTGTCTTTCTCTAGTTTCCATGTGTACTATCAGTAGATTCAATGGATATTATGTGAGATGCAGGCATTGTTACCTTTTGATAACCCATATGACAAACGAGCATATGAATGAATTTGTGATGAGTTTAGAGTTATGAACAGAGTGGCATGGGTCTATCTAGTATCTTCCAACCCATCACAGTGTATACATTTTACTTTATATTTATTTCATACTCAAATTATACTTCTTGAAAGATAATTATGTTACAAGTATACTTAGTATATACTCATGTTTTTGTTGATAAAACCTAGTTTAAAATATGTATTTTATTTATGCTTGATTTGTACTTTACATCCATCAGCAATAAGATAATTATTGTGAACAAAACAACTGGTTTGGGTCTTTCGTCGGATCATCCTATTGTGCATGGCAAAACTGGTGTCTACTTTATTTATGTTTACTCATCATTTGTACAGTTGAATGTTCCTGCCCAATTCACAGTTTTATTCTCTGCATCTGCTATGCTATGTTTTTACAGCAGAATCTTTGGACTAAATATTCACATACCAGACCTTACTTTCAAATGGCTGCCAAGAGTGTGACAAAACTAGAGTACCATTTAATCCCATCACCGCATAAACTGTACGCCCAGATGAGCTGTAAGCTAGCTTAAATGTAAAAGTATGCATGATACATGAGAACACTGGCTTGAAACAAGCTAGCCAATCTCACTTTGTGTGGTTTGGTAATTTACAATATTCTAATAACCTCAAGAAAAACATAGCGGAACTATAACCACCTTGCCCTTTAGGAACAAATGCAATCACTATACCTTTTGTTATATTTTGTAATATTTAAACTTTGAAGTGTTGAGCATTTAGGGTGTATGACATGCAAGATGACTCACGTTCCTAATAACCATGCAGGTGTTTGAAGCATATAGTTTAAAATAAATGCTAACAGAAAGGGGGTTTGGGGTGTGGTTGAATAATGTGGAGATTTCCAAAAATTCAACATAATAACCAACACGAGGTGTATCATTTATGAAGATGGGGTTGTAATGTTGATGGCTTATACTGTTGAATTTGCCCTTATGAGATTCTGGCCTGGTTTGGGAGGTGGAAGTCAATGGGAAGTGTAGGGATAGTTGGGATTGGTTGAGGTTTGTTAAAGTAATGTAGACATGTACATGTTAAGCTACATTTAGACATTTCCACAGATGTCTCCAAATATTTAATACCTGGACACAGAAACTGTTTTAAGAACCTACGTATAGTGTAATAAATAATCAAAATAATAATAAAATGAAAACAATTGAATAACAAGGTTTGCAAGCTGTCATGCACTACTTTGAATAAATGAGCCCTGATTTGAAAAAAAAAATGTAAAAAAAAAATAAATAGAAAGAATCAGTTGCTTATACATAAAGATTAAATACAAACGGTTAAATAACAGAAACAAAGAGGAAAAAAAAATGAAGCCGGGTCCTGAGCTTGAACCCAGGTCTGTCAGTTGAGGCTGATCTCATGTACAACCAATGTCGATTTTAAGCTATTTTACCAATATCTGAAAAAATCTAACAGCTAGACACACAAACTTTGAACTTTATATTAAAGCAGAATATATAGTAAAATGAAAACAGTTGAATAAATATTTTTTGCACTAACAAGCCATAGTTGACATGAACGACGACAGATGCCGCAGACAGAAACTTTCCCCTCCTATACCTTACCCTTCCTCATTTATGATTCGGGCAAGATGAAAAATAATGATCATCAATCAGTAATTCCAGAATGAAGGTGAGATCAGCCTAGCTGACTGGGTGCTCCATGACGATTAAAATTCCAGCTTGTAGATTGACGCCAGGAAAGTGCACTTCAGGAAAGTGAATATTGAAAGCATAAGTTTATAATACAAGCACACTCTATTTTGATAGCAAGCTTTATCCAGGCTTTACAGTAATACACATTGTAATCACAAACTTTGAACAGCATAAACAAAGACAAGAGAGAATGGAACACTATTTAAACAGTATAAACAAAGACAAGAG